CCTTTAGATCTTCAGTCTAACTCTCTCCCAACTGAGCTATTTCGGCCATATTTAAGTTGATTTTCTTGCTTGAAAATAGTTACATGTGGAAATGTCCCAACAGAAATAATTAACAAAATGATAAAGGTTCCCTATTTTCAAAAAACACTTTGGCCCATGTGGGGATCGAACCCACGACCTTGGCGTTATTAGCACCACGCTCTAACCAGCTGAGCTAACAGGCCCCAATGTGTAGCATTTAGGCTAATAGAAATTTTTTTTTAAGTCATCCAATTTAACCCGAAAAATTTAAACATTTCCCTAATTTAAGGAAAAACAGCCGTAACGGCCAAGGAAATTTAAATCAAAGTGAGAAACTCTAGTAGGAAGAAGTTATCCCTTAAGGTTTCACTCAGAAGACAAAAAGTTTCCTTAAGATTCTAATAGAACTGAAAAATAAACATTTTCAACATTCTAAAAGAAATTGGTACTGAAATTACTTTGCCGAAACCCGGGATTGAACCAGGGACCTTTAGATCTTCAGTCTAACGCTCTCCCAACTGAGCTATTTCGGCCATATTTAAGTTGATTTTCTTGCTTGAAAATAGTTACATGTGGAAATGTCCCAACAGAAATAATTAACAAAATGATAAAGGTTCCCTATTTTCAAAAAACACTTTGGCCCATGTGGGGATCGACCCACGACCTTGGCGTTATTAGCACCACGCTCTAACCAGCTGAGCTAACAGGCCCCAATGTGTAGCATTTAGGCTAATAGAAATTTTTTTTTATGTCATCCAATTTAACCCGAAGAATTTAAACATTTCCCTAATTTAAGGAAAAACAGCCGTAACGGCCAAGGAAATTTAAATCAAAGCGAGAAACTCTAGTAGGAAGAAGTTATCCCAAAGGTTTCACTCAGAAGACAAAAAGTTTCCTTAAGATTCTAATAGAACTGAAAAATAAACATTTTCAACATTCTAAAAGAAATTTGGTACTGAAATTACTTTGCCGAAACCCGGGATTGAACCAGGGACCTTTAGATCTTCAGTCTAACGCTCTCCCAACTGAGCTATTTCGGCGATATTAAAGTTGATTTTCTTGCTTGAAAATAGTTACATGTGGAAATGTCCCAACAGAAATAATTAACAAAATGATAAAGGTTCCCTATTTTCAAAAAACACTGTGGCCCATGTGGGGATCGATCCCACGACCTTGGCGTTAATAGCACCACGTTCTAACCAGCTGAGCTAACAGGCCCCAATGTGTAGCATTTAGGCTAATAGAAATTTTTTTTTTGTCATCCAATTTAACCCGAAGAATTTAAACATTTCCCTAATTTAAGGAAAAACAGCCGTAACGGCCAAGGAAATTTAAATCAAAGCGAGAAACTCTAGTAGGAAGAAGTTATCCCAAAGGTTTCACTCAGAAGACAAAAAGTTTCCTTAAGATTCTAATAGAACTGAAAAATAAACATTTTCAACATTCTAAAAGAAATTGGTACTGAAATTACTTTGCCGAAACCCAGGATTGAACCAGGGACCTTTAGATCTTCAGTCTAATGCTCTCCCAACTGAGCTATTTCAGACATATTGAAGTTGATTTTCTTGCCTCAAAATAGTTACATGTGGAAATGTCCCAACAGAAATAATTAACAAAACGATAAAGGTTCCCTATTTTCAAAAAACACTTTGGCCTATGTGGGGATCGAACCCACGACTTCAGCGTCATTAGCATCACACTTTAACCAGCTGAGCTAACAGGCCCCAAAGCCTAGCATTTAGGCTAATGAAAAAAAAAATATTTTTTTTGTCATCCAATTTAACCCGAAGAATTTAAACATTTCCCTAATTTAAGGAAAAACAGCCGTAACGGCCAAGGAACTTAAATCAAAGCGAGAAACTAGTAGGAAGAAGTTATCCCAAAGTTTTCACACAGAAGACAAAAAGTTTCCTTAAGATTCTAATAGAACTGAAAAATAAACATTTTCAACATTCTAAAAGAAATTGGTACTGAAATTACTTTGCCGAAACCCAGGATTGAACCAGGGACCTTTAAATCTGCAGTCAAACACTCTCCCAACTGAGCAATTTCGACAATTGAAGTTGATTTTCTGCCTCAAAATAGTTACATGTGGAAATGTCCCAACAGAAATAATTAACAAAATGATAAAGGTTCCCTATTTTCAAAAAACACTTTGGCCCATGTGGGGATCAACCCACGACCTTGGCGTTATTAGCACCACGCTCTAATCAGCTGAGTAACAGGCCCCAATGTGTAGCATTTAGGCTAATAGAAATTTTTTTTATGTCATCCAATTTAACCCGAAGATTTAAACATTTCCCTAATTTAAGGAAAAACAGCCGCAACGGCCAAGGAAATTTAAATCAAAGCGAGAAACTCTAGTAGGAAGAAGTTATCCCAAGGTTTCACTCAGAGACAAAAAGTTTCCTTAAGATTCTAATAGAACTGAAAATAAACATTTTCAACATTCTAAAAGAAATTTGTACTGAAATTACTTTGCCGAAAGGATTGAACCACGGACCTTTAGATCTTCAGTCTATCACTCTCCCAACTGAGCTATTTCAGCCATATTGAAGTTGATTTTCTTGCCTCAAAATAGTTACATGTGGAAATGTCCAAACAGAAATAATTAACAAAACGATAAAGGTTCCCTATTTTCAAAAAACACTTTGGCCCATGTGGGGATCGAACCACGACTTCAGCGCATTAGCACCATTCTAACCAGCTGAGCTAACAGGCCCCAAATAGCATTTAGGCTAATAGAAATTTTTTGTCATCCAATTTAACCCGAAGAATTTAAACATTTCCCTAATTTAAGGAAAAACAGCCGTAACGGCCAAGGAAATTTAAATCAAAGCGAGAAACTCTAGTAGGAAGAAGTTATCCAAAGGTTTAGTTTCCTTAAGATTCTAATAGACTGAAAAATAAACATTTTCAACATTCTAAAAGAAATTGGTACTGAAATTACTTTGCCGAAACCCGGGATTGAACCGGGGACCTTTAGATCTTCAGTCTAACGCTCTCCCAACTGAGCTATTTCGGCCATATTTAAGTTGAGTTTCTTGCCTGAAAATAGTTACATGTGGAAATGTCCCAACAGAAATAATTAACAAAACGATAAAGGTTCCCTATTTTCAAAAAACATTTGGCCATGTGGGGATCGAATACGACTTGGCGTATTAGCATCACATAACCAGCTGAGCTAACAGGCCCCAAAAGCATTTAGGCATTTTTTTTGTCATCCAATTTAACCCGAAAATTTAAACATTTCCCTAATTTAAGGAAAAACAGCCGTAACGGCCAAGGAAACTTAAATCAAAGCGAGAAACTCTAGTAGGAAGAAGTTATCCCAAAGTTTTCACACAGAAGACAAAAAGTTTCCTTAAGATTCTAATAGAACTGAAAAATAAACATTTTCAACATTCTAAAACAAATTGGTGCTGAAATTACTTTGCCGAAACCCGGGATTGAACCAGGGACCTTTAGATCTTCAGTCTAACGCTCTCCCAACTGAGCTATTTCAGCCATATTTAAGTTGATTTTCTTGCCTCAAAATAGTTACATGTGGAAATGTCCCAACAGAAATAATTAACAAAACGATAAAGGTTCCCTATTTTCAAAAAACACTTTGGCCCATGTGGGGATCGAACCCACGACCTTGGCGTTATTAGCACCACGCTCTAACCAGCTGAGCTAACAGGCCCCAATGTGTAGCATTTAGGCTAATAGAAATTTTTTTTTTATGTCATCCAATTTAACCCGAAAAATTTAAACATTTCCCTAATTTAAGGAAAAACAGCCGTAACGGCCAAGGAAATTTAAATCAAAGCGAGAAACTCTAGTAGGAAGAAGTTATCCCAAAGGTTTCACTCAGAAGACAAAAAGTTTCCTTAAGATTCTAATAGAACTGAAAAATAAACATTTTCAACATTCTAAAAGAAATTGGTACTGAAATTACTTTGCCGAAACCCGGGATTGAACAGGGACCTTTAGATCTTCAGTCTAACGCTCTCCCAACTGAGCTATTTCGGCCATATTTAAGTTGATTTTCTTGCTGAAAATAGTTTCATGTGGAAATGTCCCAACAGAAATAATTAACAAAACGATAAAGGTTCCCTATTTTCAAAAAACACTTTGGCCATGTGGGGATCGAACCCACGACTTCAGCGTCATTAGCATCACACTTTAACCAGCTGAGTTAACAGGCCCCAAAGCCTAGTATTTAGGCTAATAAATTTTTTTTTTTGTCATCCAATTTAACCGAAGAATTTAAACATTTCCCTAATTTAAGGAAAAACAGCCGTAACGGCCAGGAAATTTAAATCAAAGCGAGAAACTCTAGTAGGAAGAAGTTATCCCAAAGTTTCACTCAGAAGACAAAAAGTTTCCTTAAGATTCTAATAGAACTGAAAAATAAACATTTTCAACATTCTAAAAGAAATTGGTACTGAAATTACTTTGCCGAAACTCGGGATTGAACCACGGACCTTTAGATCTGCAGTCTAACGCTCTCCCAACTGAGCTATTTCGGACATATTGAAGTTGATTTTCTTGCCTCAAAATAGTTACATGTGGAAATGTCCCAACAGAAATAATTAACAAAACGATAAAGGTTCCCTATTTTCAAAAAACACTTTGGCCCATGTGGGGATCGAACCCACGACCTTGGCGTTATTAGCACCACGCTCTAACCAGCTGAGCTAACAGGCCCCAATGTGTAGCATTTAGGCTAATAGAAATTTTTTTTTATGTCATCCAATTTAACCCGAAAAATTTAAACATTTCCCTAATTTAAGGAAAAACAGCCGTAACGGCCAAGGAAATTTAAATCAAAGCGAGAAACTCTAGTAGAAAGAAGTTATCCCAAAGTTTTCACTCAGAAGACAAAAAGTTTCCTTAAGATTCTAATAGAACTGAAAAATAAACATTTTCAACATTCTAAAAGAAATTGGTACTGAAATTACTTTGCCGAAACCCGGGATTGAACCAGGGACCTTTAGATCTTCAGTCTAACGCTCTCCAACTGAGCTATTTCGGCCATATTTAAGTTGATTTTCTTGCCTGAAAATAGTTACATGTGGAAATGTCCCAACAGAAATAATTAACAAAACGATAAAGGTTCCCTATTTTCAAAAAACACTTTGGCCCATGTGGGGATCGAACCCACGACTTCAGCGTCATTAGCATCACACTCTAACCAGCTGAGCTAACAGGCCCCAAAGCCTAGCATTTAGGCTAATAAAAAAAATATTTTTTTTGTCATCCAATTTAACCCGAAGAATTTAAACATTTCCCTAATTTAAGGAAAAACAGCCGTAACGGCCAAGGAAATTAAATCAAAGCGAGAAACTCTAGTAGGAAGAAGTTATCCCAAAGGTTTCACTCAGAAGACAAAAAGTTTCCTTAAGATTCTAATAGAACTGAAAAATAAACATTTTCAACATTCTAAAAGAAATTGGTACTGAAATTACTTTGCCGAAACCCAGGATTGAACCAGGGACCTTTAGATCTTCAGTCTAACGCTCTCCCAACTGAGCTATTTCTGAGCTATTTCGGACATATTGAAGTTGATTTTCTTGCTTGAAAATAGTTACATGTGGAAATGTCCCAACAGAAATAATTAACAAAATGATAAAGGTTCCCTATTTTCAAAAAACACTTTGGCCCATGTGGGGATCGAACCCACGACCTTGGCGTTATTAGCACCACGCTCTAACCAGCTGAGCTAACAGGCCCCAATGTGTAACATTTAGGCTAATAGAAATTTTTTTTTTATGTCATCCAATTTAACCCGAAGAATTTAAACATTTCCCTAATTTAAGGAAAAACAGCCGTAACGGCCAAGGAAATTTAAATCAAAGCGAGAAACTCTAGTAGGAAGAAGTTATCCCAAAGGTTTCACTCAGAAGACAAAAAGTTTCCTTAAGATTCTAATAGAACTGAAAAATTACCATTTTCAACATTCTAAAAGAAATTGGTACTGAAATTACTTTGCCGAAACCCGGGATTGAACCAGGGAACTTTAGATCTTCAGTCTAACGCTCTCTCAACTGAGCTATTTCGGCCATATTTAAGTTGATTTTCTTGCTTGAAAATAGTTACATGTGGAAATGTCCCAACAGAAATAATTAACAAAATGATAAAGGTTCCCTATTTTCAAAAAAACACTTTGGCCCATGTGGGGATCGAACCCACGACCTTGGCGTTATTAGCACCACGCTCTAACCAGCTGAGTTAACAGGCCCCAATGTGTAGCATTTAGGCTAATAGAAATTTTTTTTTATGTCATCCAATTTAACCCGAAAAATTTAAACATTTCCCTAATTTAAGGAAAAACAGCCGTAACGGCCAATTTAAATCAAAGCGAGAAACTCTAGTAGAAAGAAGTTATCCCAAAGTTTTCACTCAGAAGACAAAAAGTTTCCTTAAGATTCTAATAGAACTGAAAAATAAACATTTTCAACATTCTAAAAGAAATTGGTACTGAAATTACTTTGCCGAAACCCGGGATTGAACCAGGGACCTTTAGATCTTCAGTCTAACGCTCTCCAAACTGAGCTATTTCGGCCATATTTAAGTTGATTTTCTTGCTTGAAAATAGTTACATGTGGAAATGTCCCAACAGGAATAATTAACAAAACGATAAAGGTTCCCTATTTTCAAAAAACACTTTGGCCTATGTGGGGATCGAACCCACGACTTCAGCGTCATTAGCATCACACTTTAACCAGCTGAGCTAACAGGCCCCAAAGCCTAGCATTTAGGCTAATGAAAAAAAAAATATTTTTTTTGTCATCCAATTTAACCCGAAGAATTTAAACATTTCCCTAATTTAAGGAAAAACAGCCGTAACGGCTAAGGAAACTTAAATCAAAGCGAGAAACTCTAGTAGGAAGAAGTTATCCCAAAGTTTTCACACAGAAGACAAAAAGTTTCCTTAAGATTCTAATAGAACTGAAAAATAAACATTTTCAACATTCTTAAAGAAATTGGTACTGAAATTACTTTGCCGAAACCCAGGATTGAACCAGGGACCTTTAGATCTGCAGTCAAACACTCTCCCAACTGAGCAATTTCGGCCACATTGAAGTTGATTTTCTCGCCTCAAAATAGTTACATGTGGAAATGTCCCAACAGAAATAATTAACAAAATGATAAAGGTTCCCTATTTTCAAAAAACACTTTGGCCCATGTGGGGATCGAACCCACGACCTTGGCGTTATTAGCACCACGCTCTAATCAGCTGAGCTAACAGGCCCCAATGTGTAGCATTTAGGCTAATAGAAATTTTTTTTATGTCATCCAATTTAACCCGAAGATTTTAAACATTTCCCTAATTTAAGGAAAAACAGCCGTAACGGCCAAGGAAATTTAAATCAAAGCGAGAAACTCTAGTAGGAAGAAGTTATCCCAAAGGTTTCACTCAGAAGACAAAAAGTTTCCTTAAGATTCTAATAGAACTGAAAAATAACCATTTTCAACATTCTAAAAGAAATTGGTACTGAAATTACTTTGCCGAAACCCGGGATTGAACCAGGGACCTTTAGATCTTCAGTCTAACGCTCT